TTGTTGTTTCTGTATGTTTTGTATGTTTTTTGTATTGTTTTATGGCTTTGTTGTAAAGCACTTTGAGTACCATTTGGGTATTGTAAAGGGCTATACAAATAAACTTGATTGATTGATTGATTGATTGATTGATTGATAAATGTAATATTGTGTCTACTCTGTAAGTCGCTTTGGATAAAAGCGTCTGCCAAATGCAGAAACATAAACATAAACATAAACTCTGCGTCCCACAGATGACCTACACCAACAGACCGATTCAGGATTTGAACCAAACTGTGTAAACCAGATCCAAACGGGTAAAATTTGCTGGTAATTCGGCTTTTGCTTACCACCCTCCACTTCTTCCCCTCCAGCTCCAGCAGGGGGGGCCGTTTCTGCCCGGCGGCCCTGGGGGAGGCAGCCGGGGCCACGCTGGTGTTTTTTTTATTTGGGGCCGAATGAGAGCGCAGGTCGGGGTTCTTGTGGGTCTTCTTCTCCTCCGAAACGTGTTTCAGACCTGTAGAGAGACGGGGAGGTGTTCAGTAACCAAGTAGAACTACTTAAGTACTGTACTTAAGTACCAAAATGCAGTATCTGGACTTTATTGGAGTATTCATTTTTTTTATCTACTTTTACTTTTACTGGACTACATACTTTTGTTTAATTTAATACTTTTACTTTTACTTTCACGGGCTGAATCGTTACTCGTTACTAATATGTAAACGTAATGAATCATCCCAAAGTACTGTTGATTGCTAATGCATATGTAGTTTTTTTATTTTGTAAACCCCTTTATGGCCTTTTATGGTGGTAGTGTGTCTTTCACAGGTTTGAAATAATATAAACAATATCTATCAAACTTTTGACTGCCTTTTTTTTATATATACACAGTACTTCTACTTTTACTTTTACTTTCGATACTTGAGTAGCAATTTTGGAAATACTTCTACTTGCAATACTTAAGTACAAAAAAAACTGAGTACTTCCGTACTTCCAAGTCTGACGGTGAAAGAATACATCTACTTTTACTCAGTCAATTATTTTATATACAGTGGGGGAAATAAGTATTTGACCCCTTGCTGATTTTGCAGGTTTGCACACTTACAAAGAATGCTTATTTTTCCTCATCAGATGGTTATCAATTTTTACAAATTCATATGATGTGATTTTCTGGAATTTTCTTTGGGATTCTGTCTTTCACTGTTAGAATGTACATATGATTAAAGTTATAGATCGTTGCATGCTTTGTAAGTGGGCACACCTGCAAAATCAGCAAGGGGTCAAATACTTATTTCC